TTTATGAGGCTTTCAATTCTTCAGTCAGCTTCCGGCTGGTAATGCAGCAAATACTCTGGAGCCCTCACTGCATTTCATAATCGGGGAAGGGGGGGGGGGGTTATTACTTAAGAACAGTAAGTAACCAAGAACCAACTTATTTTCTACAAACATACTACTATATCGTAAAAAGATTTAAGTTTCTAGAATTCGAAAAGAAATTTTTTTTAGATTATATTCAACTAACACCAGCTCTATTCCTCTTCTTGTTTACTGCTATGCATATTTTGAGAAAATATATCAGGATACACTCCACAGTAAAAGTTTCCTACAAATAAAACAAGTAGCAACGTGCACGAGTCACTTCACAGTTAAAAAGCTGTGTACATTTCGGTTCTCCATTTTTCTTCTCCTCACACTGTCAGTAAATACTGCATAAAGATAATCCTTGACATTCGTAACCTAAGAAACACCAGAGGCCAGATTCATGAAGAGCTTCTAGGCACCAAAAACATAGCTAAGACTGTAAGTTAAGAACATTGTAAAAGAAGAAATCGGTATTTTTGAACGTGTTTTTAAGTGAGAAGAGGAACGCGGCATTCTCATACGGAAAAACTAGAACTTCTGGTGTCCCACAAGCTCGCGATCCCTGTGACAGCAGGCTCTTGCAATGGCGACAGCGTCTTCGGGAACACAAACAACCAATAGGAGAGCTCGCCATGCTTTGGAGCACATGGATTTTGAATAACAAACGCAGGCGGCCTTTCCACCAATGCTTGTCTGGGGATTGTGGCCGTGTAGTGAAATGTCAGCGCTACCACAATTTAAACGGGCCCAAATGCTGAGGCCGGGATAACTGCCTTCGTCGACTGCTACGAACTCGATCACTAAAAAGTCAACACAACTGTCAATGATGCTAAAAGAAAGTCCACGCCGTTCATTTGCAAAGTGCTGTAGATGGAAACAAATCACCGCGGCGTTTTTCGTGGCCTCAGAGATGCAGGAACGGGCCGACGTCCAAGGAGATATGTTTGAACTACGAGAGTGTCAGCAAGGGTCACATATATACCTGTTCACACTCAGAGTGGACGCGCGCATTTGATTGAAGAGCTGGATTTGCACTGTTGGATTGTGTCTTGGAAGCACTTCGGGGCGTCATGACACCAGGCAAAGGAAGGTTGGACCGGCATCATCGAACTGCTCTAGCTCGACAGCGTTGACGTACCGGCATGTCGGAATAAAAATGGCATACTAATTGAGCCCGGTTATATCACACCCGGGTATTTCTAATTATTGTTTATATCAGACAGTCCAAACATTCCCTTGAAAATCCCATGTAAAAGTATAGGACCCTTATTTTTCTTTATCGAATTCCCATGGCGGGGTCACTCGATATTGCAAACAAAGCACGGCCATCCTGTCGCTTCCCCGGAGGTTCGATTCAACCGGCGGCGAGCACATAGCTCGCGTTGTGAGGCTTCGATTCAACCAGCGGCGAGCACATAGCTCGCATTGCAAGGCTGGCAGACCGCCAAGCGAGCATACGCGCATGGGGATACGCAGCAAAAGTGCAGTTGTAAAAAAAAAAAATGCAACCGTAAAAAAAAAGAGAAGAAAAAATGACCACATCTCCACATGGTGAATGATGTTGATTAGGGCGAAGCTCTGGTGGTGCTTGTCTGCGTAGACACTGAGCCGCAGCATGCCGAGCCTTTCATTTGTTTTCATCCATGTCAGAAAGAGAATGTGTGGTATGACGTAGTCATATACGCATTTAAGCATTTGACCGCAACGCCCTCTCGCCTATAAGCGTTGAGCCAATGCATGCAAAGTTTAACGCGATTATATACCCATATTACCGCAGCGCCCTCTCCTGTACAGACGTTGAGCGGCTACAAGCAACATTTCATCCATGACATCCCCAGCTCTTTAGTTACTACCACATCTCGGAGACCACTACTCGTCCCGCAGTCGTGGCCGAGAGGTTAGGGCAATGGACTAGAAATCCATTGGGGTCTCCCCGCACAAGTTTGGATCCTGTCGACTGCGCAAACATTTCTTTTTTTTTTTTTTTGCCCTACACGAGCATGTGAGCAAGTGAGCTCACGAGCACGATCACGAGCACGAGCACCAGCAAGATCGATGTGAGCACAGACGCCGGACGGACAAGGCTAGACCCTAAGGAGCTTCGCCCCTAAAAAGTGGAGGATGGCAAAAGCAAAGGGAAGGGCACGCGCGTGAGTATGGACGGCAGGGAGTGCTCGAACGGTAGCATGCGCTCTTTCCCTGAACACTACCGTCTGCGCGACTCCTTAGCCCCAAAATAAAACAAAATTAGAAAAAAAATCTTTGTCAAGTCGAGTGTATCGACAACAACTGTTGAGCAATCGCGCTTTGAACACCTTATCTTTGTTTACCTTTTCCTTTCACCGCTTTTGCTTTGCCAGTTGTTTCTTTTTTTGCCTTTCTTTTTTTGCCACCTGAATTTAGTGAGGTTTCTTCTTTCTTGCTTGCTCAACTTTATTCTATGGATCGAGAGTTCTTTCTTATGCAGCTCAGTTTTTCTGTTCTTTCATTTTTTTAAATTATTTTTGTGTTTTGTTGCCAGCGCTCAATAGCAAACATCGTCGCGTAAACGCCGCAGTGTTTGTGATTTTTACCAACTAAGCTCTACTTACTGTATTTAGCTGCCCTTAGAGGCTCTATTTGGTAAGGTCCGGATTGTCGCGGCCTTCAGTATTAGCAGAGACGTGCGGCAATTTCAACTGGAGCTTAAGTTAACATATTTTTGTATATCAAATTATCGATATATTGAATTATTTTACAATCCCCTTTGAATTCAATATATCCGGATTCAACTATAATACAGTCGCCGACCGATTATTTGGACTTCGCAGGGACCAAAAAAACGTCCGAATAATAGAGCAGTCCGGAAAAACAGCAGATTGAAAAATTTGCCTTTACTACTTCCAAGTGGGCTTAAAAAAGCCGTAAATAGTGCCTTGGTTCAGGTTACGCCTGCGTGCCTTGTTTTACGTTACGCCTCCGTTCCCGTTCGACAGCTTTCTGTTAGCTTGAAAATCGCTGCCTTCTTTTCTAGCGTTATGGTCGAGTAGCAGAAGAACAAATGGGGCCATGACGTCCAAGCCAGCGTTGTCCGAACGAGGTCAGGGGCGCAAATCCATGAGCGCAAAATGGCGACTGGCGACGCGAAGGAACGAAAAACAAAGCAAAATGATAATAATGATGATGATGATGACGTGCAGCTAAATGGGGAAAAAAAGGGCTAGCATAGCGTCACCTAGCGGTAGGACTCGGGAGTGCTCAAGTAGCGCTGCCAAACCAAGCCAATCCATTGGCAGCCAACATAGAATTCAAAATGGCCGCTTCTCGATGGTGTTTTCCGCTGATCGCTCGTCCGAATAATCAAACTTTCGGACTTCAAGCTGTCCGAAACATTGGTCGTTAATATACACTATTCCTATTGGGTAAGTCACGGTTCCGCCTTTAGGTCCGAAATATAGAACAAGTCCGAAATATCGGTGTCCGAAAAAACGGTTGGCAACTGTATCAAAGTGTCCATATTATATGTTGTGAAGGTAATCCATTTGGCATTTATCTGTGCTCTATATCCCACAAAACCATGAATCAAACAGAGTCCCTTTTTGACAACAGCGTTCGTCGCCTTGGAAAACAAGGGGATGTCAAGGGGGACAGACTGACCTCTTCATCAAAAATTGGGGTCAGCAATCAAACTATTGATATGGGAAGGGTCCACAATGGTCGCGCGGGCATATTTCATTCAGCAAGCCAGCCAGCCGTGGGCAGACGGTCTTGGCCAGGGACCGTCAGAGCAGGTCGGAGTCCCTTGCTAGGCCTACATTCTGCCAAGCTCGCCGAGCTAGCCCTCGGCAGTCGCTTGGTCGGTGGGATCGCTGCCATTGTAGCATTTTCCAGATGCCTGTGGATCTAGTGTTCATGTCCGTCGTGGTCAGCTTTAAGTACTTCTTTCTTTTTTTCTTGCTGCTTGAGAACGGGACGTGCGAGAAGAGCACGTATGTCCGTTGGTCATCGCGACCAAGTAATTGAGAGACGCTGTCAGCCATGTTAATTTGATCGTAAAAACGTGCGTAAGACACTTCTGGAGCTGTTGTAGGATTCCATTGTAGCTTGCGCAAAATTTCCGATAATTTTGTTTCGTGAATAGAAATTTGTTCTTACGTTTTGTCATAAGCATGTTTTATTCGCAAGATGCTATCGTGAATCTCGTCTCAGTTCCTTTTCTTTCCGAGCAATGGCATTCACAGGGAAAAATCAGAGAATAACAAGCGGTGCTCACCCCTCAACTCGCAACCTGAGCAAGCAGTCGCGTGATGTGGTGCAGATTATATGCCACCAACGTTCGTAATAGCAAGGTGCTCGTGTTGGCAAACCACGAGGCATGTGCAGAGTTCCAGACGTTGTTAGAATGTTCAGCTATTCCAGTCGTCGCAGCGATTGAACTCGAGCCCCTACCCAATGCTCATAGAGGCACTGACTGCCTCAAGCCCAAATCGAGTGCTCAGACAGTGCTTGTGTCCAACCTATGAGACTATCGCCACAATGGGTGACCCATGCCAACAATGCAACTCCGTAACTATGCCATCAAGTTTTGCAAAGAGAGGGAAAGAGGAAGTCCACTCTAGTCCTTGAAATTACACCACCAGAAAAAAGCTTCTTAGTCGGTGGCACTGGAAACAAGTATACTTGAGTCCCACTAGCTTTAGTAAGTATGTGTAAAAGGAGAAATATTTGAACCCCATACTGTTGCGCCGCCCCTTTCAGAATGCAAAAATAAAACCATTTGGCAGGTACAGAAGACTGAGCCTGCACCATACCACAAACATGAATAGAACAGGGCAGATGCGCTAGGCACTTCCCCTTTATTTAGATGTGCAGTGACAAGCGCAGCCATTGCAGCCCCTTAACATTAGCTCTAGAAATATGACCCAGAGGCCAGTTAGGAAGAGGCATGTACATACCTGGAAGGAAGCCTGGCACGTCCACAAACGTCAAGATGGGGATGTTGAAGGAATCACAAAAGCGCACAAAGCGTGCACCTTTCACCGATGAGTTGATGTCCAGGCAACCTGCAACGAGAAATCAAGTAGTGTACAAATAAACCCACTTATAACGAATGCGATAGTTCCACAAAAAATGGTTGTTTTATCAGCAGTTCATTATATCTGGACTTACCTTTAAAACATGTTATAAATAAGGATAATGAAACTGGTATTGGTAGTTTCACTCTGCCAGTTCTTTATTTAAAGGAACTGTTTGCACGATTCCAACGCGCCCCCCATTCTAACGCACAGGCAGATTTAGCTTCCAAATAATCAAAAAGTAAATTGCTGCCGATTCCACCGCACAGGTAAAATGAAGATTGACCACATTGAGGAGTTTCAGCGACGGTGTCACCGCCCTGGCGGCTGGTCGCCGAAGGAGAACGAGGGGGATAGCGGGGATAGGTTCGGGGGGCGTTGGTTTTGTGTAAATGCGGTGGCCGCGAACGTAGGCTTATAAACTTCGGCAGCAAGAATATTATGCGGCTCTAGTGTTCCGGTACGAGCAACAGAGGTGACACGATCTGCTACGACTAGCTACGACCACCCGCTGCAGCGATGCAGGCTGTGCAGGCGTCGAAGGAGCGCAACCTGTGTACTACGCAGTCAGTCACCGTCGCCTGACGCAGGTCGTTTGGCATTCAGGGCTTTCCGCCCCGGGTTCTTCGCCTGTACTTGGAACCGAGTATTATTTTCTGTGCTTGTGTATGTGCTCAGTGGCTGGATATGGACCTCATAGAGCAGTTCTTCAGACTCAACAGCGACTCAAAGTTGACGGCGGAGGGGCTTGCAACAACGCTTTCGGTTGATGCACGGTTGCGACGACTACACGGATAAATTTTAAGATTGCTGCTAGCAAGGTAGGCCATAGTCACTTTATGTTGACATGATTTTGAGTGTAAGTACTCTGTGCAAAGGCGAATCTATCGCGTTTCTAATCCACCTTGTTTTTTGTTGTTGTTTTTAGCACGCACGACAGACTGCTAACCAGATGCTTCTGTACCGATCATGGAGTGAATGTCTTCGGCCTTACATTGCGGAACGCCCAATAAAAAGTCATATTCGTTCAGCGAGAAAACTTCCCTTTCGAGTAACCTTCTTTGATTGATAATTTCTCCCGTACTTAAGTGCTTTAATCAACACGATCAGTTAAGTTTGCTTCCCTAGTTAGGACATTTCTGTGCCACATGCGGCACTAATGCTTGGCGCGATGTACGCCACTAGTGGTATTGTGAATTGGTTTACTTCCAAAGCTAACAGTGCAACAGGTGGGACCATTTTGCTAAAAATGTGATGATATGGAAATTTCGTTGCATAACTAGCGTTTTACGTTTAAGATTGATAAGAAACATGCTCATGTGATGATGCATGTCTACAGCATAAGCTTTGCAGACCCAGAATGAATATGCTACAGGCTACAGCCTCAAGATTTTTAATGGACTAAATTGGTGATTACACGGCAATAAATACTGTGGTGGAAAACTGCCCACTGACTCCGTGAGTTTTGATCGTGACCATTGGTGTGCTGTTGGCAAATTAGGTAATGGCACACCTTTTCCCTGACCATCTGGCTTCAAGGGACATTGCATCTAGATGTACTTAAACATCTTTATTTCAAGGTTCAGTGGACCCCTTGCATCATTACAGGAAGGCAGTCCCAAGCCACAACAAACAGCAGTGAATATAAAATGCATAATAACAGGCACCAGTGTCCAGGCGTATAGTCTGCAGACGCCAATTTGAGCCTAAAAATATTTTTGTTTTGTTTAGATAGTTTGCATTTGGTGTATAATCCGCAGGGCCCAATTTCCGCGCCCAGTGCATAGTCTGCCAAGGTGGTGCGTTGCGTCTTCGTGTTTTTTTTTCCTAGGTGGCATTTTCTTCAGAAGTTCTTCGGCAAACGCTATTGAGCCTGAAGAACTGCTCTTGAGGCCCATATCCAGCCACTGAGCACACACAAGCATAAAAAATAACACTCGGTGCCAAATACAAACGAAGCACCTGGGCGGAAAGCCGTGAATGCCAAATGAGCAGCGTCGGGTGACGGCGACTGACTGCGTTGCGCCCCTTCGACGCCTGCATCTCTACGGTGGGTGGTCGTAGCTAGTCGTAGCGAGATGATCTTCACTTCAAGCAAGAAATCTTGCCATACCATAGTCAAGATATGAGTGCAAGTGTTCCACTACGTGGGCTCTCTCGCGTTGGTGCAGTTGTCATCAAGAAAGGTACATATCAACAATGTTGCGTGTTCGAGGCTGAAACTATGATGCATACTTATCTAAACCTAAATTTATGGGTCTGCGGCTACAAACATTTTCGTTGACGTTGCTTAGATGATGTCACCGTTCAGGCCCCGCATTAAATGGTGTTGCGAACTCTTCGGTTGTGTATGAAAACCTTTTTTGCCCTAATAAAAGACATTTTCAAAAGGACATGTGTCTTCTGCTGATACATATCTTCCAATTTACAATGCAGAGGCAAACAGAAAATCAACTGCGTACATCTACCACTTAGCATAAGCACCTTTTGCCACTCATTCTTGAGCACAATCAAATATCCGGTTAGGTTGCTCTTGTTTTAGAAGCTTTGCCCTGTTCTGTAAAAAGAAAACAGTTAAAAAAGCTTTACCTTCGTTCTCCTCGCATTTGTCAGCAGATCAGACACAGCAGATATCACCGTGGCACATGCAACTTGAATGACCGATGAGACTATTGCTATTACAATAAAGCTTTCCACACGCTTGTAGGGGTGCAAAAGCACATCGAAATGAGATTGGCGCTACCGGGGCTTGTTTACATTATGCGTAAAAACGGGACGATCGGCGATCAGCTGATCGCAATAGTATAACACCAAGGATATCGATGTTTCGATACATAAAACGCAGGATAAAGACCTCAATCGTCCCTTGTATGCTGTAGTTGTTATACTTTCCATCCAACCGCTTTTTAGTACAATTAACTAGAACAACTGAAGAGTTCGCAACACCTTTTAATGCGAGGCCTGAATGGTTACATCATCTAAGCAACGTCACCAAAAATGTTTGTAGCCGCAGACCGATAAGTTTAGTTTTAGATAAAGTAAGCGTCATAGTTTCAACGCGCGAACATTGTTGATATGTACCTTTCTTTGGACCCGCGTACATTCGGTTCAACTTGATGACAGCTGCACCAGCGTGAGAGCTCATGTCGAACACTTGCACACATATCTTGACTATGGCAAGATTTCTTGCCTTTGACTGGTTTGAACACCTCATCTGTAGCATCACGATAGGTCTTGGTTGAAACGATGATCGTCTCGCACACGGCAACAAACAAAGAAGGACACGCTTTCTTTTATTTATACGCTACCGGTCTACGGGCGTCGCAAATCTATCCCCCTCTTGTCCGCCATGTTGGATCGATCGGAGCGCCCCCTATATTCGCTGAAATTCCTCAATACCTCATAGAACAGATTTTATGAAACTCACGCCAACATAAAAATAAATGCCGTGCACTAGACCGACGATGGTTCTTCGCTGTCCACAGAGGTAATTAACACTTGCTTTGGTCTAAAGTGTTTTAAGAGCCGCACTTCTTGCACATGTTCGAGTGAGCGGCCATCGCCTCTGGCAGGGCCGTCTTTCAAACACTTTGCGAACTCATCGGGTGGCTGGGATTGCGAGGCCACGCAGTGCTGCTCCGTTGTTAGATTTTTCTGCCAGAGTGATGCCCTTTCGTTTAAATAAAACCTCCTAGTGGATTTTTTTCCCCCGTCTTAAAACGACAGACACGAGTTTGTAGACGCGAGAGAATGTGCATAATACGGATACCAAAATGGCGAACGTAAACAAATGGTCATTATGGCGATGGGGCTAGCCACCTTATTTATACCCGAGCATTGAGTTTTTTTTTAGTTTTGGTTTTAGGTTTCGATTTTAATGCGCATGTAGTTTTGGGCACTGATTTTGGCAAAAAAATAGTGCACGTTACAATTATGCAAACATAGTAGTGAATCGGTGAACTACACGACTCGGGAGGGCGTTTTTGCTTTTGTAGTTTTGTTTCCTCCCCGGGGAAGTATGCCGCACGGCCGCAGAAATGACCTTGAGCGTCTCCCAGAGAGCCGCGCCCAAAATGTAGCGCTTTTAATCTTCTTTTTTTTTTTTTTCTTTTTTTTTTTCTGCGCGCAAGTTTTTCATTTATTTCTTTTTTTTTTATGAAAGCAAACTTTGAATGTTTGTTGTAACAGTATGATGCTTTGAAAAATGGTTGTTTTATCTGGACCAATTTTAATGGGTAGGGCCTTGAATTCGCATATTTTCTGAAAGCTGGTCGTTATATGTGGGATCCTTATAAGTGCGTTTGACTGTAGAATCAATCCATCAATCAGTGACTTCTGTCATTCGTTTGAGGCGACAAGTGAGCGCCCTGAAAGGACCAGAAGTACAAAACGTGGTACAATATGTTGCCCAACGAGTTACCAATGATACTATGGTACCAGTACCTTTCTCAAGCTTCAAAGAAAGTGTACAATAGACCGATCTCACCAGCCAGTTTGACTACGCCACCGCTGCCGCAATGCATCGAGGGAACTTTAGTCTTTCTGCGCGTGCGAGAACCTCGCTGGAGCTCTCCGCGTGCAGGGCACGAACAGTCTCGTGCACTGCCAATTGCCTCCTGAGAACTAAAGTTATGGCTGCCTCGCGCATGCTCCGAACGCTTGGTGCGATCGGTCTATTCTTAAAGATATCCCACAAGACTAATGACACTAATATCGCAGTTTGCCAGCAAGTAGTCATGTGGGATTTCCTTCCTTATTTTCCGCACTTTCTTTAATGCTCGAAAAAATTAGACACGCAAAGCCCACTTGGTGGGAACAACATGGTAGATTGTTTCTCAACACACCTTACAACTTTTGTATTGGAGGGTTTGCGCACAAATCAATATTTCAAAAGATAGCTTATTAATTTGTGTTCATTAGAAAGTTTAGTGCATCACAAAAAATATCTTGACTCGCTGAACAGAACAGAAAACAATACCGCATTGGTACAACATGTGTAGTGTGCAACAGCGTCTTTTAAGTTTTGGGAAACGTTACCTCAAACACAGTGTAGAATGTGGACAAAACCATATAGTTGGTCAAGAAGGGCTTTCAAACAGTTCCTTTTAGTGAATCTCGGTTCTGGCCACGGCATACCTAAGGTGACATTTCTCATCACGGTGGGATCAGACAGCGATTCAGAAGGTCGCCACTTTGACAGCTGGACCAAAAGACTGCCAGACACTCCAAGTAAGAAGCTCCAAAGTGAAGACTAGAAGACACCTGGAACAGGCACCAGATAATAGAAAAGCTAGGCTTTTCTAGCAGTAAAATGCCTACTTTAGCCCACCATAAAGTACTGAGCAAGTGCCTCTGCAAAAGTTAGAGAAACAGTAAAAAAAACGAGGATGGACGCAAGTCCGAAAGCAGAAAAGCAGAGGGGGCACATGGTAGGACGGGCCCTTGTTCTATTCAATGGAACAGTGTAGAGGCAGTGCAGGTGGCAGAACCCTTAATTTTTAAGGCCTGCTTTGCACCGGCGCTCTCGCGTCAGGGTTCACCGCTTTGCACTGACGCACACACGTGAGGCTTCACCCCTTTACACCCAAAGCCTATTGATGTGTTTCTGACCATCTTACAAATAGAGTCAAATGCTCCAACGCACGTGCGGCCCTACAAAAAAAATGGTGGCGGAGCGCTCGTTTGTGGCCCGTCTCACTCGATCGCGCAACAATGGTCGTCTATACTTGTAAGAAATTTAAAGCGTGAACTTTATCGAGGGGCTTTATTTGCACCCGTTTCTAAGAGAAATGGCAGACGCAGAGGAACGCCTCGGCTAGCTTGGTGGACTCGGAAGTTTGCTGGGGTGGGCTCTCGACATGTCCTTTACAAATATTTAGAGCATTTCAAAAGTAGGGGGTGATGCTTATTGTGACATGGGCACATGCTAGGTATCTTGTGGTACCTATAAGGCGTTGAAGGTCTGTGAATAAGGGAATTACGAGGGTCAATGTCCGTGGACAGACAGGCACGAAGCAGAAGAGAGAGGGAGCACTCACCGGCTGCAGACTTGGGGTTGTTGGCCACCACTCCCACGGTCTGGCCGTTCATCCTGGCGAAGCCCACAATCAGGTTCTTGGCATACATGGGCATGATCTCAAAGAAGTCCCGGTCATCCACCACCTGAACGCAATGGCGCGCCATCAACTTAGCACGAACCTCTTACATGTAACAAACTTGCAATTGCATTTCAATCTATCAATCAAATTGTCGCACACAGCATTGCATTTTATAAGGAAAGCAGTGGACGCTAACTACAATCTCAGCCTTCCAGGCATGCGATGCCGTGTCTAGTGCCGTCACGTTTTAATTCTGTGCTGTTCTTTTTTACAGCGTCAGCTGTGCTGGGCGAGCGCCGTGTTGCCAAAAACGACCGGAGCATGCACACATTTATCCTAGGTAGTTCTGGGGCTGAGGGAGGGCAAGTATGGCAACATTACCCTCACCCTTCCGCTAATAATAGTCGCGGTTGAAGCTCAGTGTGTTCGGCCAATCGCAACTGCGCTAGACTTTATGTGATCGCACTCCTCGTCACCTGCTCTTTCTTGACTTCAGTCGTCTGTTCCATCGGCGTGCTAAGTCTTTGCGCGCAAGAATAGGGTAAGCGAAGCATACGCCGTAACAAGCAGCTGTAAACACTTCCGTGAGAGGGAACGTCGGCGATGCTTGGGCCCCGACCGTTTCACCCCGGGTGTTCGGATGGAACGCATTCGACATTCAGATCATGCTGTGCATGAACATGAAGCGGAACATAGAGGAGGATGTTACCTAGCAAAGAATGGACATGATGGCGCGGTAAAGCAACTTGTGCGGCGTGTTCGAGAGAATGTGTTCGGTGCTAGCTGTTCTGTGTTGATCAGTTGCGGTTTACGCGAGACACAGCACGACGCAACACCACCAGAATTTCCAGTCGATCCCGACGTAATATCGTCGAAATGTCGCACGAGCTGACGCTGTCCATTCGCATTACATCACAATTTTCTTTGTTTGTTTTTTTTAGTGTTGATTCTAAAGCTTTTGCAGCTGGAAAAGTCTTCTCGAAGCGTCTCCAAACCATCTCTCCCACCTCTTTTATTTTCTTCTCTTTAGTTTTCTTCCACGGTTGCATTCTGTGGCTGGCAAAGATCGCAGTGCAAATGTTTGGCAGCTAGCCAACTCTCTTCGACCGTGGCTTGCCTTTGCATGCCTCGCTTTTTGGGGCTAAACCCAAGTCACCTTCAGTAACAATGCAATTCTGCATCAAAAGCGGCATTGCATTCGGCAAACTCTCAAAGCTCGACAGTCTTCAACAGCGGATTCCCCTCTGTTGCTCAGAAGAAAGATTCGAGAAAGGCAAGCCACAGTAGATGACTGAGGGAACTGCTTACGCTTCATTGTGTTGGTTGCACATAAAGTGCCTCCCCCAGCCTGTGTTCAGAATGTATTTTAACAGACAACCCGAATAATGACTTATACTGAACCTTCTCATGCATGAAGCGACTTTGTATAAATCCTTGCACTCCCATAAAATATGGGTTAGGTAATTCCTCTTGATACAACCTAGCAATTGCTGTGCCATTTCTTAGAAAACAAAACCACTGGCAGGCATATACAAAAGCATGTATTGTTAGGTCTCGTGCATAGCTGCAAAGGATGATGTGGCAAGAGCCCAATAGATGCGCTTCTCGCAGTCAATAGCTTTAATTGAATGCGAACACTTAAGCAGTTTAGAAATAATTTAAAAAGTAGAATAAGTAAGTACAGCTTTTTAAAGCAGGTGAATAGACAACTCTACTCACTGCAAAACTAATTTTCTCCCTGCTTACACGCCCAATCAAGACCACAGCTACAGTTTTTTTATTGTGGCAATTACAACCATGATATCAGATTTTAGGCACCATTTTAAACATCAAGCCTGTTTAAAGTAGCAACCATGCTACCAAAGAACTGGACATTAGGCACTGCCGTTACATCTAGTAGATGTAGATGTACTTTTGTTCTGGAAGCAAAGATGTGCAAATGCATGCAAAAACCACAATCTAATCTGCCATTTTTTCAAATGCTGCCCCGTTACTTGCACAGAGAGCACAAGGACATCCCGCCCCTATCTCAACCAGGGGTCAGCAATCACTCTCTAAGTGGTAGGCTTCCCAAACTTCTAAGAGCACACCAGTAGCAACTCTGTGCTGACAGCCTTTCATTTTCTCGTAGCCCTAAGAGCGATTATGAGAATGTGGAGAAGCAGCCACCACAAATTCCCAAACGACCCTAAAGTTTGCACATGCCGCTTTTCTGGCCAAATATGTTTGTAGGGAGAAAAACATAAAATCACTGTCCCCACCACAGATTTCACAAAATATTGAGCGCCTCTTTCTGCTGCCCCTCATGCTTAAAAGAGGAATTTGCAAGGGTTCCACACTGGTGGGTAGAGGGGAATTGTTAATCATAGTTTTTACCAGATAAAGCTTCTACTTTATTTAATTGCGTTCACAACATAGAGATAAAAACAATAAACATATGGGAAACAAAAAACTGCTATAAGCAAGTTGACGACGCAACTTATGTCTACCCTTTCGTAGATCGATCTACAGGAATCCTTCGATATAAAGAAATTGATTTTTTTTAATTATAGTTTTATCGAAGTTCAACGTGGTCCCGACCAAAATGCACACATTTTTTAACCAGATTATTTTATGTGTATCGGTGGCCGACCACGCTGATTACGAAGGGCGCGGTGCCCAAAGCATGCAAGCTTACACGGAGGCACACGGAGACCCTTGAATTCCTTCCCCCTTCTTTAACGATGCAAACAGCAGACAAGGAAATGGAGTAAACGGGTGATGGAGGACAGAGCGCAGCTTCCGATGCTGATGCGGGGAAGCAGGAAGGGAGCAGCGGGAGCAGTGTCCACGTTACAACGCTACTCATGGCACTTGCGGCCGATGCTGCCCGACTTCTGTCTGATTCAGGTGAAGGGGGCGATGGAGCCCAGAGGATATCACATCTTCAGAAGCCCCCAATGCGCGCACTACATGCACATGTGCGTCGTATGGGAGATTGGGAGTGTATACCGAAAGTCGCATAGATCTGCGAGGTTGAGGAAAGTGGCCAGCTCAAGTCCGAAATCACCAAAGAATTCGACATTCCAGCATTGGCTGTTCGACAATGTCCATTATTTTGCAAAACAAGCAAGACATATTGGACAGGTTCGAGAAGCTTCTCATGCAAGAGAAAGCGCGTCTGCGACCTGAAGGTGAAAGATCACTAACTGCTTTGCGCGCGTCAGATTCTCTTTCGCGAGCATGCTTGCCGAGCCGGTGCACAATTCCCAGAGCTGCAACAATCTCTACAGGAGTGTGTGAAAACATGTTGGAAAAGCCACCAAGGATAACTTTGATTCGTTCATGCTTGTCGATGTGGACCTTCCCGTTGTTGCTTCTGTCACGGATGCTGCGATCGACCTTGTGTGTGGCCTGAGTAAACATGAAGCGACTTTGGAGAGGCACCTCGGGAAACGCCAACGACTGCGGAGACGCAAAACACACCACAGCTACTTCCAAACAAAGTGGAGTGCAGCAGCAGTGACAGTGTTCATGCAATGCCTGGAGCAGTTCGTGGAGAACTGCTCCGCACGAAATTATCGGTAAGCTCCACGTAATTATTCTTTTCTTTTTACTCGGTAAAGCTGTTCCGAGATGTTCATAATCAAGGTTTATTTGATTACATATACAGTCAGAGTGTTCCACAGTGTTCCCGTCTACCTTCAAGGCTGCTGGCACTGTTTTTAATACGAAAGCATTAACTGTCCCATAGAGCGAGCCGACGTCATCAGCTTGGAAGCCGCGCCGAACGGCACCTAAGCTCCTTTCTCCAAGTGAAGCCGAGCTCCCAGCTTTGAAGCCACGCGAAAAGCCTAGCCAAACAGCACTTAGTTTCCTTGCTCCCAAAGGAGCGAAGTGTAGCCGAAATCTGATGGATTTCGGCTTCAGTCCCATTGGCTGGCACGCGTCAGTTTCAAGGAACGAGGCTCCCATTCGCCGCTGCGCATGAATTTGAACGACCGCCACGCCATGGTGCAGCGTATCCGCACCGCCATCGCACTGGCAACACGAAGGGTCTGAAATCAGAGCGGCGAGGAGAGAGCACGCAATCGGCCGTCGACGCAAATACGCCACAGACGAAGTAAGGAAGCGAAATAACGACATGCATGCTTTCGCATTCACAACTCATAAGAAATGCTTAAATGTCCCTCAAACCTCTTTTTTTTTTTTTTTTTTTTTGTTCTATTGTTTTTAATAAATTACTATTGTAATTATATTGATCTTTTTTTGCCGTCCCGTTGACTTCGTTGTAATGAGGAATTACTGTATTCTGTTTAAATATGAAATACAGTCAAACGCCTTCACACCGAAGCCTGCAGGACTGGCAAAATTTTTCGTAGTAGAGGTAACTTTGTTGTAGTAGTTGAGCGCGAAAAATCTATCATGCGAAACAAAATTTGCTTTATCGCATATCAACGTACCTGAGCAAGGTTCAATGTTTTACGAAAAAGTCGAGCACCAGATATAGTGTGAGCGACATCATAAACAAAGTTTTTTACATCGATAATTAACTTATGAAAAGGGAGAACGGTTGCCGAGTCTGCAAGCGCATTCCAGCTCGGAGCGAGTGGGGCAAAAGCTCCAGTGCACAATCCACGCATCTTAAGCTTGATTACTTCTTTTCTTTTATAGACGAGAAAATTGTATCGGCACGTGTTCGTGCACTCACCACTGCGCGACGCAATTAGACACCAGACTAGCAGACGTACCAGCAGCACCGCTACAGGAAAAGTTTGTCTACAGCCAAGACACCAGGCACTCCTTGCTACCCAGACTAATTTCCCGCCGTCCAAACTTCCACATGACAAACTTAACTGACTTATCAAAATATGAATCACAACTGCCACGGTGATGTGATTGGCCTAAGCCGTTTTGGAGCACCTTTCGGAGCAGCCAAAACAGTGCTTTGGAGCAGCAAAAGGGGACTTTGGAGCAGCTGGAACAGTGTTTTGGAGCAGCAAATGTGGCTTTTGGAGCAGCTAAAACAGTGTTTCGGAGCAGCAAAAGTGGCTTTTGGAGCAGATATCCTTAGAAAAACAAAAA